ACCACATCCTTAGCTTTTGCTACTTCGGTGAGCTGACCCAAGATCTTCTCCCTCAACACAATCCTTAGGGCTTCTCTGCCCCTAGTTCCCCTTCTTTTCAAGTGGGCACTGACCCTGCCTCTCTTGCACTGGTCCCCATCCCTATTGGCCCTATATGTGGCCTTCTGGCTCTAACCATACCTTCAGGGCTCTTATTGTGGCTTCCAGTCACTCCCATAGCCACACCCGTGCCTCACAGACATTACTCTAAATTAATTTACTGGCTCTTTAATTTTTGTCTTTATCTCTGCTTATTCAAACCATGGTCTGTTGGCTGTTACAGAGCTGGTCCCCCAGTTTTTTCCCCTTGCAGGGCTCCAAGCATTGAGTGCCTGCACAAGACACCTTCCCCCCTCCCCCCATGGCCTCCAAGTACCCCTTATAGCCACTCTCAGAGCTCTGGTTAACCAATACCTAAAAAGAAATCAATAATCTAACATAAACTCCTTAGCTTTTTGAGGCTCCCAGCAGAGCTTCTTCCCCTTCAAAGGGTCTCCACACCCTTCTGGCCAAACACTGTTAACAGAACCCAGGTGCTACTAACTCCTGAATCAGCAGATATGCAGTCTGCAGGCTGGATCCTGCTAGATCCATTTAACTGTGCTGTTTGTATCTGCTGTCTCTTGCAGTTAGGTTCCCTGTAAGCTGCACTTGCTTTGCTGGCTCTGTTCTACTCTGCTTTCTTCCTTCTAGTAATAGGAGTAGGAATCCCCTATGACAGCTAGGAAAAGTCTTTAATAGAGCGTATCTTTACCTACTGTATGCTCCCAAATATGATATGCACCTTGGTATAGGAAGGCAAAAGAAAATTTTTCCATGAAAATAAGTAATTTAATCTAACAAGTAACAAATGCATAAAACCACTTTGCTCCACTCATGATCACAGGTGTTCACATATGCTACAAAGCTGACTCAGCAAGTGTGGGCATATAATGTCAACATGCAACTAGAAATAGTGGTAAACCTGTGTGAAGTCATGATATGAAGTCATCTATCAGCATACCAAAAACATACTTTTAACCAAATTGTTTGGAAATCAGTTTCCTCCTTTAAGACACCCCAATTTTTGCTGGCTAATTTAAAGGGAAAAGTGTGTGATATGTGAATAAATGCAGTATCTTTTGGACTATCTACTTACTTCCAATGTAGTATTATGAAAGTCATTCAGTCTACAGTTTTAAAAAGTAGCCTCTCATTGTGTATGTGTCTGTTTTAGGGGGTGAATTTGAAGCATCCCTGCTCTTCAGTAGAGATGATGCATACCCCTGTACTTCAGTTCCAATTCTGCAAGTGTTTGGCATTCTTGAGAATCGGGTGCAAAAAGGAGTTACTCCAAGTCATCAGTCACATCAGAGAATTTGAGGCCTAGGGCCTGATTTTTCAAATACACTGAATAATCATGTCTTTAGATCTCAAGGATATTCATGAATGACTCCATGTCTAGATAGGAAGAGATATTAAGTGGGGTTCCCCAGGGATCTATCTGCCTTGGGGCAGGTGTTGTTGGAAGGGTTTAGTCAGGGATGATTCCACCTTCAGAGGGGGCCTGGACTAGATGACCTTATGGAGTCCTTTCCAGCCCTAGTTTCCTATGATCTTAGCACCACTGAAAGCCTAGCCTAACGTATCTAAATATTAGAGCCCAAATATTGAGGTACACAATATTAGAGGCTACCCTCAAAAACATCAACGTGCTTTGCAGTAGCTTACACAGGAAGCAAGTGGGCACAAGATCACCTTTTTTCTCATGATCTTTTGATTTCTTCCTAATCTTGCTACCATCACCAAAGGGTGCTCGTCCTCAGTCATTCAGGAGTTCAGCTTTCTCCAGGGTGCTGGTAACCACTTCTCTTGAGTTGTTGAGCAATGGCCCCACACTCCTATTTGCTTTCCTCCTGCTCCCTGTGTACCTAAAGAAGGACTTCTTGTTGTCCTTGATTCCTGTTGGTAATCTGAGTTTGGTTACTGCTTTAGCCTTTCTTATCTGTTCCCTGCAAATGCAGGCCATCATGGAATAGTCTTCCTTGGGGCCCACTCCAAGCTTCCATTGTCTTCATAAGCCTCTCTCTTCTTTTTTAACAGTGAGTTTTCTGTGACATTTTATGTAAAGAAGTTTTCCTTGTTCTTCTACACAATTCTATTTATCTATTTCACTTGAAAAATATAAATATATCAAGGTGCCATACCTCAAGGTGGCATATGTACTCTGCATTAAGAACAAGAAAGTTTGTCAAGTGACTTTGAAAATGAAGAAATAAAATAGATGAAAACTCTTCAGCTACTAAGCAGCAACAGATTTTGCTAGAACGACTGGAGCTGCAAGTAACAGAAAAGTCATTTTTAAGGTTTATTTCTTCCATCAGATTCTTAGGCTTCCACTGATCTCCCCCCTCCTGGAATCCATGGATAGTTCCCATTTATACCAATACACATGCCTTCCAAGGCACTGGAAGTACATTAGTCCTGTTTAGACTGAACAGCAGGGTACAGGCAACTCCTGCTGAATGCTGTTTCGCTTAGCGCTGCTTCACTATAATGCTCATTTTAAATTGATACCTGGTTCCACTTAGCGCTCAGTGAGTTTCATTATAATGCTTACAGTTGCCATCTTGGGTCATTAAAAATACTTACAGTCACCAGTCATCAAAACTTCTGGTTTCACTTAACACTCATTTCACTTAATGCTTGTTTTTTTCAGGAACCAATTAAGAACACTAAGCAGGGGTTGACTGTAAAACGAATTGTTCTTCTGTAATACCAATTGTTTCACTGAGGCCCTGGCAAACAATATATTTAAAGTTTGACTAATATGTTAATGGAGCAATTATTTGTGTAATATGCCTCATGTTCAAGCAATTCATCACCTGATAATAAGTCACAAAAATGGTGATCAAGCCACAAGGATGTAACTTGTTAAATGTAGAATACCTTTCATGCTGAATTGTATTTTGTGCTTTATGTTGAATGTGTGGCATGTTATGCATAGGGTGATAGTGAATGGTCAGGTCCCCTAACAACCCAGATGGACTGCTTCCCCCTCCCCACTCTTTCCTGCAAGGGGACTCTGACTCCCGCTGAACTCTCCTGCCCCAGGGTACCTCCCCAGGAGATGTCATAAGTCACCACTCCACCTCCCTTTTTTCAATTAACCTTCAAAGCTGCTTTTTTAAGGATCATTTTAACACCTCTTCCCCTGTGAGAGCTAGATTGTAAATATTCAACATGACGTACTTTACTTTCACACAATAGGAATGTGTTGGGGAGAAAGGAAAACACACATGCACACAATGGGGAGAGAGAAAAAACGTAAATATAAAAGCAGTTCATAAGGTGTCCTGGGAGAGTTCAAACCCCCCCACTCCTACCCCCCCACCCCCTGTCCTTTGCATGGCAAAGGGCAGGGGAGCAGCTCTTTCATGCAAGAAGAGCAGAAGTGTTCAGCTCAGACCTCACTTCTCTTCAGCATCACAAGTAAAGGGGTTTAAGGAAGTGGGGTGAAGAGGGAAATGACAGCCCCTGCCAGCAGCTGTCCAGTTCCCCTTGCTAGTGAGTGCTGGCAAAGCAAACTTCCAGGATGCTTTTTTCACCTCTTGATAGCTTGCCCTATAAGCAAAAAGCAAGTCACATGGAGCAACAGTTTCCATTGGTCAACATTACCTGTCATCAGGGGCCTAATGGTCAAATCCTTTAAGCCATTCATGAAATCCAGGGTCATGCAGCACTGGGATTGATGCCAGGATATCAGCTCTATGCATTTCTTATACAACGGCACCAACTTTAACATGATACATAAAACTGTGGCTTTTATTGTTCCATTCTCACTTTAGGAATGACAGCCTTAGTAGCAGATATTCCACAGAGAGCCTCTATATCTTAGTTGTTATTACTTAATTAGCACATCACTCTACTCCCCCCTTTTTTTTGGAGTTGTTAGGTATCTCTTTTTAAAGTACCAGGTATCCAGGCTAATTGGTTATCTGTCACTGAATGATGGATGAACCATTCCAGTCTCTGTTTAGATGAAATCACAACATTGGCTGTTTAGATGTATAGTACAGTGGTCAGGGATGTATTTGGTAGCCATGTTGGTCTGAGACAAAAAGAAATGCAAAACTCTAAAATGCTTGGGTCAGAGATGAGCTTTTTATTGGACCAACTAAAAAATTGCAAAAAAAATTATCTTTTTCTGCAAGTTTTGGGCACACGTGCCCTTCCTCACGCTCAGGGAAAATTAAAGATGGTAAAAAGTCCCCATTGGTAGAAAATAAACTTCATTTTGCACAGAGGAACCTGAAGGTGGAAGTCTGTTCCTCTGGGTCCATGAGAGTGTCTTTGCAAGTTACTCTTTGATGTGCAGATAAGGATTCCTTTCCTGGTGGTGTAGTACAGTGGTCAGCATCCTCTTTAAGCTGCAGGCTTGAGTTGCCCCGTTTGGATCAGGACAGGCAGGTACTAGGACCCTGCCACCACTGCAGTTATTCCCTGCGCCAGCACAGGGAAAGTTCCTGCCACTTCCTTTTTTTTCCCGTGGCAGCAAAGGAAGGTAAGCACTGCTGAAGCACACCACTGCCGTAGCCTCACATCTTTGGTTCAAATGGCTCCATGGGCCAAAGTTTGCTAGCGCCTGGTACAGCTTATGCTGGAATGAGTGAAACTAAATTTCCAGAGCCAGGTCCAGTATTTTCCAAAAAGTTGGGTTGTGTGGATTCAGCCCTTCTGCTTGTTTTTCTGCAGCAAAGTGGATGTAAGTAGGGGCTTACATTCATGCAGCACTTTCTGTTACAAACTCCCAATTTGCAGTACCAAGCAAATATGTTTTGGTGTTTAAAAAAAGTGTTTAGATACTTGGCACATCCATGATACATTTTAACCAACAGTCTAAAAGTGCTGCACAACCATTAATTATCAAACAGCACTTTTCTGCTGTGGGTGTTAGCGTAGGACTAGAAATACTTGCTCTACATTTTATTTTTGCTCTATTTACACATAAAAAACCCCATGATAAAACAAACCTGAGAAGTCCTGTGTGCCACATTAGCTGTTGCTCATCTGTTGCTAGGCAATGGCAGCATGAACATTTGCTTGCCATCTCCCTGGCCTGGCCCAGGGTGAGTGCAATGGCTTACAACAGGCAGCAGCAGTGTTTGCAGCTGTACATAAGGAAGATGGATCTTTTGGGGCTGCACTGCTGTTGTTTGTTGCCATGACAGCAGAAAAACAAGTACACCGTGACCAAGAAGGCCACTTCCAGCAGCCAGAAACTTTTGGGGAATGGAACTTTTCATGGTGGATGAAACTCGCACCTTCACAGAGGCCTTAAATCCTATTCAGTTTCTGCAAGGTGCATAAACTCTCTTTTGGCTCTGTGCATGGGGATAAATGTCACCTTATAGGCCAAATCATGACCCTTTGACACCAATTCATACTGGTAGCCTGACTAGAAGAAATCACATCCCCATTGACTTTAACAGGGTCAGGATTTCACCTTATGTTTTACAACGGTCCCCATGTGTGAATTACCCTTAGTTCATCATTGCCAGCCCAGGACTTATGGCTCCTGCCCCTTAACCTATAAACTCTACTCCAAAAGCATGAAAGAAATAGTTTGATTGAAACAATCCAGCAGTCAGTTAACTATAAATGAGATGGAAATATTCACCACTTTACCAAAATAGATTTTCAGGTGCAAGGAGGCGCACAACCCAATGACGATGGATTTGAGGCACCATGACCATACATGGTTGTATTGTGTGTTTCAGTTAACCAGGAATGGTTAAACATGGTGCACCATATCATACTCTGTGCAGCAGCACTTTAATACAAGTGTATGTACTAAAACCATGATGGATAGGGCAGTGGATACCCACAAGTCTGTTATCTGCTTTTAGAGAATCTAGTTTTGCCATGCAAGCCAATTTGAGGATTCCAGGATTCTTCTCTGAATTCTGCCACAGACTTGCTGGGCAGCTCTAGGCTAATTGCAAAAACCCTCTGCTTCATTTTCTCACCTATAAAATCCCTCATCTCAGAAAGGTTGCCAGTCTTTAATGGATTAATATTTGTAAAAATCCAGATCTGAAACGTTCCTCGAAATTTCAAGTGTTTGTTTCGCCAAAGGTTGCACTTTAACTTGGATCTTGTATTAAAACAACCAAAAAGTAATATTCTGTTTGCTCTTTCTAAAGGTCAACTTGTTTCCTCATGCTGCTCCCAAAGTTCTTTTCCTTAGCTGATGACTTATTTTAGGATATCAATCCTGCTGAATCCTGGTTGAAAGAATTGCTACCTAATGCATAACCAACAGAACAGTTTCTGAGAGAAATGTGCGACAAGAAAGCTAAAAAGAAGCTCTATCTCCTGGGCTGCCATGCTTTGTTGAGGTGCTCCTTAGTGCAGTCTGGTGGTGGTGCAGACATGTCACATGGTAGAGTGATGTACAGCATAGATCTCAGGTATTGGACAGCATAACCTTTATAGCACAGAACTCCATGCAGGTTTATTGGCTCTGCCAGGAAGTGTGAGAGATGAATTGTTAATGCAACACATTGTAGCACAGGGACTGAAAACTGTTATTGGATGTCAGCGTCTGCCTCCCGCCCTGTATCAGTAAGCTTAGCCTCACTCTGCTGCTCTTTTGGGTGGAATCTTAGTATTCCTACATGTTACATTTAGGACATATTGCATTTAGATCATAATAAGCATTTATACAGCTTAGAAGGTTTTCTGTGCAGTTGCATGTTAATGCTTACTATGATCCTAGTACTCCACTGGAACCAGGTAGAGTGGGATCCCAGGGCTGGTTCCCAGGTGATTTTTGGTCTCAGTCCTAGGATCGCACTGAAGCTAGTTTAAGACTGTGGTAATGAGGCTGGGAGCCAGACAAATAGTTGTTTGTCAGGCTTCCTCCCTACACTCTGAGGCCAGTTCAGAGCTCTGGTGTGCTGTGGGAGCTGGGAGGGACCCCAGCACCACACAGGAGCCAATTCCAACCCCCACACATTGCAGAATATTTGAACTAGCCCCTCTGGAGCTGCAAACAGCTGTTTGCAGCTCCCAGCCTCCATACCACATCAGAGCCCATTGACTGGTGCAGTGTGGGGTCAAGTGCAGCGTAATAACGGTTTGTCTGGCTCCCAACCCCCCAGCACACCAGAGTCTCTTGATTGTATTACCTCCATGAAGCAGTCCCACATGATGTAATACTGTCTAGAGATACTCCTTGTCGGAAAAGGCCTAACTTTACTATTCCAGGATGGCACATGTTTTACTACTATAATTGTGAGATGTTAGCATTGTAAGTGAGGTTACATGTATCAAATGAACACTACTAAGTGTAACATGTAACAGTATCCTTAGAGTGACATCAGATTCTTCTGGGCCTTGCACTAAGAAATTGTAAGCAATGGGATTTTGACTGGCTCCTATATAGCAACAAAGAGTTCACTTTATGTTGACTGCAAATAAATAAGGCACTTCAGTATGTGCTATAAGGAAAGTGCATATTCAATGTTTTGCTAAAACAGAGCTTTATGCTGGAGCAGCCTCAGTCTGACCCCTCATTTCTTCAGGATCAGTGGGCTTATCCACACATGCGCAGTAGCCTAATTTACTGTGCAGTAAAGTGTCACCATCTACATGTGCACCACAATTAGGGCACAGTAGATTAATTTATTCCGGCATAAGATAGTCCTGTCAAATACAGGTACTATCCAACAGCAGGGTAAATTACTGTGCTTAAATGCATGTGTAGATGGTGACAGAGTTAGAATCATAGAATAGAAGGACTGGAAGGGACCTATAAGATCATCAAGTTTGGTCCCTTGCTGTGGGCAGGAGGTTATTGGGCTCAAACAAGCTCAATGACGTGCTTGTCAAGCCTCCTCTTGAACACCTCCAAGGATGGTGACTGTACCACCTCTGCTGACAGTGTGTTCCAGATTCTACATGCCCTTATGGAAAAGAAGTTTTTCCTTATGTCTAGCGTAAATTTCTCAATTAACTTATGCTCATTGGTCCTCATCCTCCCAAGGGGTGCCTTTTTGAAGAGTTGCTCCCCTAGATCTTGGTGTTCACCGTGACATATTTGTAGGCAGCTGTCAAGTCACCTCTCAGTCTTCTCTTACTCAGGAAAAACAAACCCAGTTCCTGGAGTCTCTCCTCACAGGGCTTATCCTCCAGTGCCGAGTAGAGGGGGAGGAGCACCTCTCTGGATCTGTTCCCAACACATCAGTTGATGCACACCAGAGTTCTGTCTGCTGGCAACTTCATCACATTGTTGGCTCATATTCATCTTCTGGTTGATTTTCATCCCCAGGTCCCTTTCAGATGCAGTGTCAGCCAGTGAACCCCCACCTATCATATAGTTATGGTGAAAGTTCTCCCTACCCAGATGAAGGACCCAGCACTTGTCCCTATTAAACCTCATCTGATTGCATTCAGCCCATAGGACCAGTCTGTCAAGGTTGTCCTGGATCCTTACTGTATCCTCAGCTGTGCCTGCATTTCCCCACAGCTTGGTGTCATCCGCAAACTTAATCACTGCACTTTCCACTCCCTCATCCAAGTCATTGATAAAGATGTTAAGGAGCATGGCCACAAGCACTGATCCCTGGGGGACACTACTAGAGATGGCCCTCCAGGATAAGGCCATCCCATTGATCACAACTCTGGGATCAACCTCTGAGCCAGTTGCCAACCCACCTCACTGTAGACTGGTCTAGGGAAGTACCCTCCAGCTTAATTGAGAGAATCTCATGGGAAACAGTATCAAAGGCATTGCTGAAGTCTAGGTAAATGATGTCAACCTCATGTCCCTTTTTCAGCTGGTTAGTTATCTGGTCATAAAAGGACACCAGGTTTGCTAGGCATGACCTACCCTTGACAAAGCCGTGTTGGTTGCTTCTTAATACCTTACCAGTTGCAAGCTTCTGGTTGATGGCTTCCTTGACAGTTTTTTCAAAGATTTTTCCCAGGACCAAAGTCAGACTGACCGGTCTATAGTTTGCAAAGTCATCTCTCTTCCCTTTCTTAAAGATGGGTACCAATGGGTAGCCCTCTTCCAGTCATTCGGGACCACTCCCAAGTTCCACGACTCTTCAGACAGCTTTGCCAGAGGTCCCACTATGAGCTCAGCCAGTTCTTTCAGGACTCTCAGATGCAGGTCATCTGGCCCAGCGAACTTGAAAATGTTCAGTTTTTCTCAGAGTATCCTTACCTGTTCTGGACTGATTTCATGTGGACTGTTGTCTTCCCTGTATTCCCTGAGCCTCTGGACCAGTGACCAGTTCCTGTCTGATTTCAGGAATACCCATGAGAAGTAAATATTTAGTTTATTCAGTTGTATTAATTAGAAGTGTAGATGCACCCAGTGTTCACTAGAATTGGACCCTGCAGTAGTCCCCATCTGCCCAACTCCTTTTGTATTGCAAAACAGTAGAAAAATTAAGTTACTTGACTTCCCGCAAATTGCATATATCTTTTGGTGTTTCCCACTGTTTCTCTGAAATGGAAATTCATAATCAACTGTACTATGGAAATGAGCTAGGAGAAAATTCCCAATTTCTCTGAAGTATCTGTGAGGAAACAGACTGGTATAGATGAGAGCTCTTTAAATCCATGACATTGGCATCTGAAATGCATGAAAAAAAACTTATAGCAAAAAATCACAAGTGACTGCAGCAGAGGGAGAAGTTTTAAGAACAAAGTGTTTTCTTTAATATCAATCTCAAGATGTAAAATTCTTTTGACAGCAAAAACTCAACGTACCGTACTTTATAGCAGTTCTTGCATGTGCTGATTGTAGATACTTTACAGACCTAAAACAACATTTAGACAACTGATTACATTGTGGTGGGCATTAACAGTGCCCATAATAGTTACAGTTAAAAATAGCTTGCTGCTCATCATTTTCTAAAAGATTCACCAGATGGGCTGAAATTTCCCATGATGCTTCTTCATTTCAGGGTGATTTTTGTTTTAAGCATGAGCAAAATCTTCCTGGTTTGTTTTCATTCATGAGGGGTTGCATATTCTTCTTTCCTAATTCTTTCGACCACACTTTAAAAACAGACAGCAAAAATGACCTTGAAATTTGATGTGTACCTAATCCCTACCAAGGACTAGTGCCTCTGCTTGGATTTGAGGGAAGCATTAAACAGGAAAAGTTGAAAGGTGTTAAAAGTTTGAAAAAGTATTCCCACGGCTTACCAGGACTGATCCAGCTAAAATATTTAGCTTTGAGAATAAACGGCAGTGTCTGGTATCATTGCATATTCTTGCTTAGTCTTGGCAAGGACAAAGCCTGCTACTCAGCTTAGGTTTATAAATATAAGCCTCAAATATCAAGTCTGGGGAGACAGAAGAAAACCAGAGCTACTTAACAGACATTTTACCCTTATATTAGGATTTTTTCTGTATTTTAGGATTTTTTGCACATTAAGATTTTCTCTTTGAAGAATGACAACAACAACAAAATATATTTACTGCAACAGTGAACAAGAGAGGAGCTGCTTCTCTGTTAGAAAACAAGTTTTATCATTTTATGCCTTCCATTTATTTACTCTAAGGAGCAAAGATGGAAGCTTACCTTCTTCACTGTGAAGTGTGGATTTCTTAGTTAGGTTGGGTTGTTAAACACTGTCAGTTTCTTTTTTCTCCCTCTTTCCTGGAAGAAAAAGAAAATGTAAAATAAAATCTGTTAGTAAAATGCTGTGAGTCAAGATTTTTCTGCTTTCTTTGCCTCTTATCATTCACATACAAAAGGTTCTGCCTACGCTGCAGGCTGGAGGTGTAATTACAGCTCAAGTAGACATAGCTGAACTAGCTTCAATCTAACAAGCTATACTACCAATGGCAATGAAGGCATCACTGTGCAAACCTCACTTACCTGTCTGACACCCTGGGTATCTCAGTGGATTAGCTGCTCAAGTGGCTAGATTAGAGTTTACTCAGGTATGCCCACATGTACTGCAGTTAAACCTCTGAATCAAATGTAAAAGGCAAAGATTTTTGTGGGTGATCTTTTATTAGACCAACTGTGTTGCTAGAAAGGACAGAGAGCTTTCAGGTACCTCTGTACCCTTCCTTAGGCCTCAAAGAAAAAGGCAGACACAGCAGAGCTGAAGAGCAGATAGAATAAAGACGTGCAAAATTCCGTAAGTCAATAAAAACAGAATGTAAGAGAGAATATCAGTTGGCTAACAGACGAGAGAAATCCAGTAATTGCATTGCAATGATTGCAATGGAGACAGACTTGGAGGAGCTGTAACTGTGGATTATATCACTGTTGAGGTTCCCAGAGCAACATTAAAAATGGTAAGTTGCATATAATTTAGATCAGAAGTCAATGGAGGTGCACTGAGTTACAAGCCCTGAGGACCAGGCCAATAACTGCTGGTTTTTCCTTGACCCATATTTCTTTTGGCACGAGAGGCTTAATATTGCTATTTATGTTGTAAATTTTACATTTCTAAAACAAGTATACAAGAAACACTTCATTCCCTGCTAGAATTTAACGTGTATTTCCTGGCTTTTTTAACAAAACCTTCAAAAACACTTATAACAATCCAGTTCCCATTTTCAAATTTGAACTAGGCAATAAAACGCCTAAGTCTCACTTAAAGGTAATGACACTTTCAGTTCTCGATCACTTTGGAAACTGAAATTAGGCTACTAAGTTAATAAAGTGGTTTTGAAAATGTTACCTTTGTCAATTTTCTCTGTACAACTTTAATGCAGTATTAATGTCTGCAACCATTTTTATATGTGGTTCTCTATAGAGAGTTATGATGTAAGGGAGAGAAGGGTTATGTTTAAAAGCAAGTAGTACATTTACCTAAGAGAGTGTTTTAGGGGGAAATTACACATTATTCTTAGACCATACTACAGCAGACAAGGTTCTTTGGGTAAATCTGGTTTCTTTTATTAGACCAACTTTTATTAGTTGGTCTAACAAAAGATATCAGATTTACCCCAAAAACCTTGTCTGTTTATGTCGTTAGACCAACACAGCTACAACCTGTAGACCATACTAGGAGCACTTAAATGCAAATGTCCACAAATTAAAGCTTGTTAACTCATGTCAGGTGCCCTCTGAGGATCTCAAAGTTATGCCACTTCAGGCAAGGCTTAACTCTGGGCCATGCTACCTAACTTATATTAGGGTAACTTCACTGTGCTCCACAGAAATAAAATGAGCAATTTGTAGACCTCCAGAATCCCAGAATGCACTGCTCTCAGCCCTGCCCCCCCACCCAAAGCAGAGGTTGAGCCCAGGTGTCCCAGCTTTTAGCCATGCCCCCACTTGCAAACCCTCTAGTGGGAAATAAAAGCATTGTCACAAAGCAAATAATAATTGCAATAAATTAAGAAGCACTGAAGAAAATTTCAGATGACATTTGTGAGGAAATAGTGGGGAAAGGGAAGTCAAAGAGCCAGGAAGGGTTATTAAGGGCTATACCCAAAATGACTCCACTTATTAAGGGCTGTGCCCAAAATAACTGTGGCCCCAGTGGTGGCAAGATTGTGGGAAAGGAGTAATAGGAAGTAGTGAGTGGATGTAGAGAAAGACAGTTTGTGAACACAGGATGATGTCTGTGGAAACTATACTAGATTAAAATACACTTGATGGAATAGAGAAGAGGGATAACTGGGTAAGTCTGCACTTTGGGTGACAATGGTGAATGCTGGCAGGTGCAGCCAGACAAGCAGCATAGATGTCAGTTACTATTTTCCCCAACACCACTACCTTAGTTATGCT